GATAACCGAATCTTTGAGTGTTAAGTTAACTCATCTGTTTAGATAACTTTTAAGTAGTGTAGTCAGGATTCAAACTCAGGTCTAACTGGCCTAAGTGCATGCTTTTAATAACTACAATTTGCACTGAAACTAAAATGTGCTGACAATTGGAAGCAAATACATTTGTATAAGGTCTTGTTTGATTTATTATTTTATTTTATTTATTTTTGAGACAGAGTCTCATTCTGTAGCCCAGGCTGGAGTGCAGTGGCAGGACCACAGCTCACTGCAGCCTTGACCTCCCAGACTCAAGAGATCCTCTCACTTCAGCCTCCTGAGTAGCTGGGATCACAGGTGCTTGCCACCGCACCCAGTTAATTTTTGTTTGTTTGTTTGTTTGTTTTTTGTAGAGATGGAGTTTGGAGTTTTGCCATGTTGCCCAAGCTGGTCTCAAACTCCTGAGCTCAAGTCATCCTGCGTTGGTTTCCCAAAGTGCTGAGATTCCTGGCGTGAGCCACCAAGCCTGGCCTGGCCTTGTTTAATTTAATAGCTTCATCTATTTGTCTCCAACAGAGAATTGGCTCTTTGACCTAATGTGGAAACTTACCTCCCTCTGAATGCTGATGATTATTTCCAGACTTCTGTCGTTTTGTAGCTAGGAGAAATCTTACAGATCACCTGCTTCGAACTTCTTAAGAGTAAAGAAAATAGCCTTCAGAAAAATCCTCGGTGACCCAAGGCACCCCAGCTCTCCTGTCCATTTCCATCATCTCGTGTTCTCTTCTCCAATGCCCAGTTTCCTCACCCTCAGAAACAGGCTTATGAAAGTGAAAACACACAACTCAATGGCATTTTAATGAATATATGCATGTGCATATATGTGTGTGTATACACATATATACACATATATACACATGCATATATATACGTGCATGTATGTATATATATACAAACACACATACATATATGTATAGGATACTTAAGGTACCTGAGTCTTTTGGTCTAAGACTAAATTGCCCAAATATTTTCATATTTATTGGAGTTGCTTTTTACTATCCCTCATACCTCTTACTGTCTAACTAACTTGCTCTATTTTTTTTTTGCTTGCTTTTAGCATTTTTCTTCTCATCCAATTGCTGTTCCTAATAGTGAGAAAACAGACCATCAAGCATGTTCAAGTCATGCTTAATATAAAAATTAACAGACTCTGAATGAATGCTTGAGGAAACGTCAACAGATGAGATGGATGTGTTTTTTTATGTGGCCTTGGTCACTGTGACAACCAAAATGAGTGATTGAGACATAAATCTCAGTCATTGAGGCTTATTGAGAGCCAGCTTGAGGACAAGTTACGGATGCCTGTATGGCTGTTTTTCCCAAAGAGGTTCTTAGGAGGTTTAGTATTTATATATTTTCCTTAAAAAAGAGAAGGCAACAGTGAGAGGAACGATTACATACCTGGGAGACTTTCATTAGTGCCCTGTAAGTTTACATTTTACATAAGATAAGGTGAACATTTGAAGAAAAAGGGAATGGAGGGAGCAGACATCCCAGGGAGGAGTGAAGGAATGACTAATCTCATTTTAGCTTTGTTCTGTACTGGGAAGATAAATCATTAATCAACATTACCAATGTGGAGTCTTTCAAAAGGGTCTGTTTAGCCCTTAGGGAAGCAAGCTGAATGGTAGTTAGTGAGGAAGGGCTACAGCGAGGTGTGTCCCACCCCCCATCCCATCATGGCCATGAACTTAGCTTCCAGGCTTTGCCTGGGGTCCCTTTAGCCAAGAGTGGGTCCCTTCAGTCATTTGAGGGCTAGAATTTTCTTTTTCTTTCTTAATTGATTTTAGTTTTTAGAAAGCAGGGTTTTGTTGTTTTGTATGTGTCTTTGTTTTTTTCATTTTTGTTGTTGTTGTTTTGTTTTCTTTTGTTTGTTTTTGCCTCATTCTAGGCCATGGCAAGGTTCATGGATAAACCATGTCTGAATAAAGATAAAAACAGCTGAGTGCATGTACATGATCACATTTTCAGTCTAGAACACCAATCCTATTTTTACTTAGAGTTAAAATTTTTTTCTCTTGTGGAAATTATGACTCAGAAAAATGGAATATTTTGAAATACAACCACAGAAATCACTTTTACTTTCCAGCTTCCTATTCTCACTCCTTTCGGATCCAATGAACTGAGAGGGGATGAGACTGTACAAAGAAAATACTGCCACTCATAGCTACGTACCTTAATTCAGCGCCAACCAGAGGTGATTGTTGCCACATCTCTAGGTGCTGAGAAGAAAGTGGGAGTCAGAGAGGTTTCCATGTCCCTCTAATCCAGCCTACTTTAAACCGTTAAGCAGATAATGCAAGGATTTAGAGGCTGATATGAGGCAGGACGACGCAGCTTATTCTGCAGGACATTGTGACAGGTCAATCATGAGCGAATAGTAACAAAATAAAAAGTCATGCGAGTATATCTATTTTCATGTTTCTAAACTTAGAGATCTTTATTACATGAGAAGTGAGGTATTTGGTATTTGGTTATTGTTGGGGTCTTTTACAGGCCTGATAAAAGCATTTTTTTTTCTTTTTTCTTTTTTTTTTGAGACGAAGTCTCACTCTGTCTCCCAGGCTGGAGTGCAGTGGTACGATCTTGGCTCACTGAAACCTCTGCCTCTGGGGTTCAGGCAATTCTCCTGCCTCAGCCTCCCAAATAGCTGGGATTACAGGCGCCTGCCACCACGCCCAGCTAATTTTTGTATTTTTAGTAGAGACGGGGTTGCACCATGCTGGCTGGCTGGTCTGAAACTCTTGACCACAGGTGATCTGCCCGCCTTGTTCTCCCAAAGTGCTGGGATTACAGGCATGAGCCACTGCACCCAGCCTCATGTTCTTTTTATACTTGAATACTGAGCCAACTGAGAACCATAACCGTAAAGACAGGCACATAGGGGTCACAGCATTGCCCTGATTGCTGATAAAGGTATTATGGAAGAATGTTTGTGCACAAGTCACCATTAATCCTGAAACACAATCCTGAATAGACTTGCTCACCCACTAGGGCAGGCATCTCTACATCAGCAGAGTTGGATGTGGGCTTCTAGCCAAGAGAAAAAGAATGGGCCCTGCAGGACAATTTCTCATTCCCAGCTCTTCTATCTGATAAGTCAGCTCAGCTCCCCTGGAGTAAATTAGGGGACAGAGACAGGCAAGTGGATTAGGGTAATGGTGCTCCTTCCACATGGAAACAAACATGCAGATGGAGAATAAGCATCCCCAGATATCATGGGTGTGCATGGACATTTGGTCTAATATTTGTTGTTCTATATATGTACCGGGCTTTATATATGTTGTGTCGTTTGCCCTTAAAATACTTTACCCCACCCTAGGCCCAATGCAATCCCATGAAGAATGCTATGAAGAAATTTTTACAAGTATTATTATCACCATTTTATGGATCAGAAAACTGAGTCTTAGAGAGGTTATTTAACCTACTCAAAGAACATAGATAATAATTAGAAGATCTAAGAGTCAAATACAAACCTGTGTCTCATTAAAACCCATTCTTTCCACATCTCCAGTTATTTGTCATGGTAATACATCTGTTGATAGTGTGATTACAACATAGTAATACATCCATTGATATCAAGCACATTAGATTTCTTAGTTGAAAACCATTCTAAAGCTGTGTTGATGGAAATTTAATAATTCATTAATATAAAGTTTAGACTGTGTTTTTTTAACTGTTTACGTTGAAATAATTTTAGGCTTACAGAAAAGAAGAAAAGATAACAGAATTCCCATACACCCTTTACTCAGCTTCCCTTAATGTTAACATCTTATATTAACCATGGCATAATTATCAAAATAAGAAATTAACATTGGTACAACACTATTAGCTAAACTACATACTTTACTCAAATTTCACCTTGGTTGTCATTGTTGACTGAATTTTTTGAGGGTAGGAACTGTATTGTATGCATTTTCATATCCACAGTGCCCAGTCGAATATCCGGTCTAGAGTTAGTGATAAGTGGTTGTGGAATGAGTAAATGGATGAATGGATTTTAAGTCCCATGCTACCACTTGCGTATGTTTGTGTGTCTCTGCATCTCCCAGGTTTAGAAGCATGTGAGGAAAGTCTATGGCTATGATTTGAATGGATGCATGTTCTTCAAAACTAAATTGCACATTGACTTTGTGAAACACAGTCCTTTAGAATTATGAGCAATTTGTAAAAGTAAAAGAGAGTGTACTAACGAGATTGAAACAAAGATAAAGGGGAATCTAGTAAATGGGCAGAAGGCTGTGGTGTTACATTCATTTTATTGTATATATATGTGTGTGTGCGTGCATATGTGTGTGTATACATGCATGTGTATGTGTACTTGTGTGCATATATGTGGGTGTACATGTGCATGTGTGGAGTGTATGTGCACATGCATGAGTGTATGTGTGTGAGAGTGTGTATGTGTGTGTATTTGTTTCATGACATACTTCAGTAAGTACCTGGGCAAGAGATGTAACAGTAGTTGGCAATCAGTCCTGGATTTCTAGGCAGGTTTTAGAAATTCACTGTAAAACAAAATCACGGAAATTCTCTTGCTTGAAGAAGCAATTCAAGCAGATGCTTTTAAGGCTCTACTTGCTTTTGCACTGATTTCAGTAGAGATAACATTAATGAAGCATGAATGTGCTATGGCAATGGTTTCTAAAAACTTGTGAAATAAACACTCTTTCATCTTAACCTTTATAACCAGGGTACATGAAGTCAGGAGAAAGGCAATATTCAAAGCACAAAATTCCTATTGGTAGCTTAATGGACCCTAAAATGTATGTTTTTCTTGCTGTTTCCTCCATCTGTTTTTAACAGAATTTAAACTATTAATGTGGCAAAAACTAGAAAGGCAAAAATACGGCATTGTTCTTAGCTGGGCAAAACTGGAATACAAAAGTTTTATGAGAGCTGATTTTCTTTTCAAAAAAGTTCAACTTCATAAAGGTTTTAATTATGTTATTATTGTTGTTTAGATGGAAGACGTCATAGCACGTATGCAAGACGAAAAAAATGGAATTCCTATTCGTACGGTCAAAAGCTTTCTTTCCAAGATACCTAGCGTCTTCTCTGGTAAGTCTGCATGGAGCACAGCTCTGTTTTCTCCTGTACCTCTTAGATAACTTTAAAAAACTGATTCCGGCTGTTCACTATTGAAACTCTCTCTCTAATCCATTATTCAATAACTACTTATAAAATGCCCGTGGCGCGTTTATCATGTGGAACACTTGAAATGATAGTAAAATGCCAAAAATCATGACCCTGTTCTAGGTTAGTTTGTAAAGACAGAATGAACGAATATGAAATAAAAAACAATATTAAAATAAATAAAGACATATAAAAAACAATGTTATGAAGGTTGTATATGGAAATTAGGAGGGTGAAAAAAATCAATGATTTCTTTTTCCTGACTGATGGGGAGTCAGGAAAGGGTTTCTACAGAGCAGTGGTGAGCTGTTTGAAAGATAAGGAAGAGCCGTATTCACTCAAGACCACTGTCACCACCGGCTGTGTTCACCCAACTCGACAGTGACCAAACTGTAGAGACCTTGGGTCAGGTTATGAGGGTCTGTGAAAGCTAGCCAAAAGAATCTAATTCTGAGAAAAGGGAAAATACGGAGACATTTAAGATTTTTGGCAGAGGATATTGTGATGAAAGTGCTCGGGATAAACTGGCATTCAGTAAGGGCAACAGCACTGTGACAAGGGTAAGGCTCTCGCAGGAATAGTTTGGGTGCCCAGGTCCTGATATCCAAGGGCTAAAGGAATAGAGAAGAAAGAACATGAGGGTTTAGTGAATAACTAGGCATGCAGAATAAAAGACATAGCCCAATGGATTTCGTTTTTTTTGTTGTTGTTGTTGTTGTTGGTTTATTTTAAAATGGGGAGACTGAGAGATAAAAGAATCATTATCCAAAATGGGGAACCTCCACGGGTTTGATTGGCAATGACTAGAGAAACCCAAGACAAAAGGAAGTGTAATAAGCTGAGCATCTGTGCTCTGACTCAGAGCACACAGGAGGCAGTCAAAGTGCCAGTTTTGGGGCCTGGGATGTGCTGGGGCATGGCCTACCACAGCTTAGGGAAGAGGTGAGATCAGACAGCCCGAAGCCTCAGCAGCAAGGAGGGAGACGACGGCGGCTGATGCTGAGTGTGGGTGGGAAGGGTGCTTCATGGGATTCCTGTACAAGGGTTGCAGGCTGCTTCCTCACGACCAGGATCAAGAGAAGATTCATGATCAGGAGGCCATCAAGCCTGGAAAGAGGGCAGAGATCAGGACAGGAATAACAGGGAAGCAGGCCTCCGCGTTGGGGTTTGAGAGCTGTGTTGCTGTCAGAGAGAAGACAGGGAGCTTGGAGCTGCAATGACATTTTGCTCTAACAAAATGTGTCCTCTTTTTTCCCTGTTACTCCCTCTCACGCCCACTTCATTCTAGTTTCTTGCTCTTTCTTAATGATGCCTTGTACTTTTTACATCTGTGGCTTCACTCCATTTCTCCTCTCCTCACTGTCCCACTTACAGGCCATTCTGACTGTTAAATTCCATCCCTTCTTCAGCAATCAGTTCAGAGAGCTCTTTGGTGAAAACTGTCCCAAACCTTTTGTCTCTGTGCTCTCAAAGACCTTGATTTTTGCATCTTTTATATGCTCCACTCTGTCTGAGAGTTATTTTGCATATGTCTTATATCCCTAGCTAAACCTTAAGCTCCATTTGGTCAAGGATTCAGAGAGTTAACTCCACATCTAAACACACATGTAAAAATGTTATTCATATATTTATTGATGAGCTAATGAAAGGGATGAACTGATCTTCTTTAGAATTCAGGCAGATAAATGCGCTACATTGCCATCCTGCACTGGGAACTGTGGTCAGTTCAACTGTGTGCGACCTGCTTAGGGGCATTCAGCAATTATGAAAATACATAGGCCAAACAAAAAAAGCTTTGCTCATCTAATTAAGCTTGGCTGCAATTTTGGGATATCTACTCTATTGGAGTCTCAAATTTTTGATCGAGTTCTTCAGATAGCAAATATCTCAACAGCAAGCTGTTGGAAGATTTCTTGGTTGACAACATTAAAATTTTAATTGAAAAATAAGATTGGACATATAGATTGAGAATTAACCTGGGAATCTCTGATAATTGTTTTAATGTTCACTGCTGTAAAATAACAGTGGTAGCTATTAAATAAAGAGAATATCAATGACATTTTTCACGTTAATGTAATTAGGTCTAAGTAATCATTTTATGTTCCCTGGAAACTCTGCAGGCATGCTGTGTCTCATAGGTTCAATTCACTGCTTTGTCGTGGATTTAGTTGGTATATCTAGTATTATGTCTAGCACTTATCAGCTTCTTTAGATTCATATTCCCAAATTATAATGTACTCAAGCTCCATCCACTTTACTAGAACTTTTCAGTCTTTTCTAGTAATATCCCTCCCCAGATATTTCTTATAATCTCTGGGGGTTGTTAATTCCTCTGTTCTTTTGTGGCCCTAGTTGCAACCGACTGGCTGGCTTTCCCAGCTCTTTCAGCTTCTCCCTTCTCTCCCTGAGCATGTTTCATGGTCTGCTGCAGAGCTTCTAATGAAACAAGAAATCCACTGATTTTATTGCGCTTAGTAGAACCAGAAACCAGTTGTGATGAAGGCCTGCCGTATGTGGAAGGAGGGTAGTGCAGTCATTGCAGACTGGAGTCAATCCTTGCTATGGACTGTTCCACAGGGAAGGAAGGATCTCAAATGTTGTAAATCTAACTTTCTCAAGTTACCCATTTGTGCTCCTTAAAGCCTCATTACTTCCATGGACCGTTAGTATCAGAATCACTTGGAAACTTACAGGGAGAGAAGAGTGAAAGAATGCAAAATTACAGCCAGATAGTTCCAGTGTTCTATGCCACTGTAGAATGACTATAGTTAACAATAATATATTGTGTAGCTTCAAATAGCTGGGAGGACATTGAACCGTCCTGACAAAAAGAAATGATAAATATTTAAGATAATAGATATGTTAATTACTCAAAAAGGATAAATGTTTATCATTTCTCAAACACTTTTCATTATTTATCACCATACATGATTTGTTTCTTGTTTTGTGTTTTGAGACAGTCTTGCTCTGTCACACAGGCTGGAGTGCAGTGGTGCAGACATGGCAGCTTCACCCCCCTGAGCTCAAGCGATCCTCCTGCCTCAACACCCCAAGTTAGCTGGGACCACAGACACATGCCACCATGCCTGGCTGATGTGTAATTTTTTTTTTTTTTTTTTTTAGTAGACAAAATCTCACCATGTTGCCCAGGCTAGTCTCAAACTCCTAGTCTCCAGCGATCTTCCTGCCTTGGCCTCCCAAAGTGCTGGGATTATAGGCATGAGCCCAGCTATCATACATTATTTGTATCAAAACATCACTATGTATCCCATGAATGTGTACAATTATTATTTGTTAATTTTAAAAGAAAATGTAGTATCCGGACCTACCCCCAGATGTACTAAATGAGAACCTCAATTTGAGCACTGAAGTGTAAGATGTACTGCCTTAAAATGCACCCAGAGAAGCTGGGCAACTCGGGGGAGCATCCTTGTTTTCCTGAGGGCTCTGGGATCAGTGGCCACCTTGCTTGTGCCGATCTTTCTCTTTGAAGGGCTCTAATCATCTCGGCAGTCTGGCCTCAATCAAGGCCACCCCAGTCTATCTAATGGCTTTAAAAAAAATTTTACTTGGGAAGGAAAAAGCGGTTAGGAAGAATAACCTAGTTCTTTCTCCTTCCTTTACTCCCAAACCGAGAGTCTCTGTTGCCCCTAAGATTGATAGGTGTCAACAGCTTTGTGGCGGAACGAACACTACTCAGTTCCACCAGACAACTCCCATGCTTCAAAGGAAAACATCGGTCATGGTGGCCAAGTAATGCCCATATCCACCTCAAGTGAAAACAGCTGTGTTGACCAAGTGGTGCTATAATCCAATTCCCCCTGTAACATCTGCAATCCAGACCCAGAATCATGTCAAAGAACGCTATGGCAAATATAATCTATCTAATAATAGGGTTTGTGTTTTGTTTTTCCTGCTAAATGCATTTTGTCCAGTGAACCATCTAAGACTTTTCTCTTTGTATTTGTTTGTTTGTTTGTTTTTTGTTTGTTTGGTTTTAAAGTTGTTGATTTCAACCTCCTAGTTTCCATAGTCCCAAGACCATGGGACAATATCTTTGGATAATTCCTCTATGCCAGTTCCTTGAACTCTGAGATGAGAAATGTCCTTGAGTGGATCCAATCACAGCATTGCCTTTTTCTCCAGAAGTGCCTTCTCAGCTGCAGAGATAGCTCAGGCAGCTGCACAGGTCGTATGTGACTTGGTGTGTCTCAGGGCCAGGGAGTAAAATCAGTGGTGTACGTACACTGTAGAACTTGGCTAACAGCTCTCTTCCCTGGGATTCCGTTGAGATTCCCAGAACTTTGGTGAAGTGTGTGTGACTCTGTGTGTGTGTGTGTGTGTGTGTGTGTGTGGTGTGTGTGTGAGTGTGTGTGTGTGTATGTGTGTCTGGCACTGAGGCAATGTAAACCTAGAGGCTGGGTAATGACCCTGTGCAGAGAGCAGCAAAGGAAGCCTGTCTGCAGTTGAGAACAGTGAAACATGTAAGGAAGGAGAAGCAGAGAAGATGAGGCAGAGAGCGCTGGGTTACTGGTAGCTTTGCAGCTCTTGCCCCAATCCACAGGCACAGTCCTGCAATCTCCACAAACTTCCTTCTGGTTTCTTCATCTCCTTCAATCCTCCACAGTAAAACATTGACTTTTGTTTCACTATGTTTTCAACTTCGACTTCCCTTTTCTAGTTTAAACTTTTCCCATCTCTGTATTTTTTCTAATTATACCTAGGAGTCATCCCCCATAGCACATGTATTGGACACAAAGTACTTATGGTTGCAAAAAAAAAAAAAAAAAAAAAAGGAGTGTACATAAAAAATGTTATAAAAGGAGAATATTTGGGATTGATCAATGCCGCTCTGGAGTATGGCTGCAACAAATGCACTGGGGAAGGTCTTAGGAATGTAGATTTCAAAGGCAAACCACAACTAT